GTGTGTGTGTGTGTGTGTGTGTGTGTGTGTGTGTGTGTGTGTGTGTGCTGCTGTCAGATGGGACTGCACTGTTACACTGCCTTGGGTGTAAAAACTGCAGAACTCAGTTTTTAAGCTTCAGAGTTGCCAGTGATTGTATAAAAGTTGTGTGGAAGATAAACAAGAGGGAGCTGGAGCAGCTTTGGTGATGCAATGCTACACCACACCATGGCCTGTAGCCTTCGTCCACTGAAGCCCAATCACAGGCTTACATTAATTGTTCCTGTCACAGAAGAACTGCGGTGGACTTTTCTATTCACTCGATGTCAGGAGCAGAACTGTGCTCAGTAAATCACTGTCACATTGTCACACATATTTCCGTATGTTTAAGAAGAGCAAAGCTCAGCGACAGGCGGTTCGGATTGAGAATTCCTGCCGTTGATGTAGCTGGATTACAACTCTAACACCTTGATTGATTGGAATGTTCTTCCTCAGACAGGAGAGTGGATTGACAGCCAGCATGCAAATTCAATAATGTATTAAAATGCAGCTTGCCAGCTGTTATTGGTTGAATGTGTCCATTTTAATTATTTTTCCATATGTCAGTCTTGTTGATATGAAACGCAGCCAAGCCACAGCATCCGGAGAAGTGATTACTTCAGACAAAGCCTCCTTCCTTGACTTAGCGTGTGCCGTACCTCATTACCTTGCTAAGCCCAACTTTTAATTCTACCCTGTGCAAAAAGTCAAATTGGTTTTCATGGCAGGCAATTATTGTTTTTATGAATATGATGTGTCTGGAATGGTGGATATATGGTGATGTAGCAGCAGAATTAGTGTTCTCAGAGAACTTTTATTTACTGTGCAATTTCAGCACATTAAAGAGTGCAAGAGCCACTAATTGGTGTGCTCCTTATGTAGCAAGTTTACTGTACAACAGTGCAGTACTAAGAGGCCGTAGGGACTATCAGGAGAAAGGATCTAACAAAGCACACATCGATCATTTGGTTCTGCCGTTGCCTGCTAACAGCTGTTGCCTCTAATTTGTCCTTTCTGTTTACCTTTTGTGAAGAACTTGATGACAGGGTATAAAAAGCTCCACTCTGCGTCTCAGTACTTCCCTCTGATTGTGAAACAGTCATCTCCTGTTTCTCTGAATGAATCAGATGCCTGAACAACAAGCCCACAGGCAGTATCATCATTTCCAGCCCGTGTAATCAACACTCCAGGCTGATGAGGCAGAAGATGAAAACATCCGACCGTGAAAACCTTTGGTGTTGTTTAAGGTACACAAGGAAAAACAAGCCCAGACAGGAACTGATTCATACGGTGACCACCAAAAGCTCCTACGCCTCATAAAACCAGAGATAGAAAATGAAATCTCTCATGCAGAACTCACATTTTCCAGCAAATCAAATGTGTACCAGTCACTCACTTCAACATTCTGTTCACTTTGTCAGCTGCTATTGACTCAATGATGGTTTGTGCATTTGTCCAGGACTGTGTGAGAACGTGCCAGGTTTTAGCTGCATTATTGAGACTTGCAAAGCCTTTTACCCTTGACTTCACACTGACAAATATCTATGAA